ATTAATAAACATAAAGAGACAAACTCTTTGTCCCTTCTTTTCACAGGTCAGCAAATGAACTTGTCATTGCCGTTTATTTTCTAATGTTATTTACAATCAAACAGGTAGCTATTTCTGTATGAAAATAGGTAAGTTTTTTGTAGAACTAAGGGATAGCATTTTATTCCACAATCGTTTCAGTTATTCAGCTTATAATAATCCAAATGGAATGCCATTTAAAAGTAAAATTATATATTATGTCAACAAGATCTCTTTGATTTTAAACACACTTTTAGGCGGTGTGCTAAAGTCGTTTAAATAAATCGATAGTGCGATTTTGGTTCAATATTTCATAAATCGGTGTTTCGACTCCCTAAATTGAGTTTAAAACCGTTAAAACTTAATTCAAGTTGACTCACCAATTTTTTGCGGGTTATTGATAACAAAATCCAGCTTCAACAAACTGTGCGAGAAGTATGATATAGACCCGACTGCGACTAGTGTGTCCTCAGCGAGGAGTTGCCTAAACAGCGACTTTTACAATGATTTCCTTCATGACTTGGTCCAATAATTATGCTATAAATAAAGCTATTTCAGAAAGAAAACATTAACCTTTATTTCTTCTATTTTACGGCAACTGTAGCATGTCATTATCAAAGAAAAACACGTTTCCGCTCTTATTTTTACCAAATTAGAGCAATAAAATCAATTTCAGATGTATTTTAAATACAGAGTCATCTATCGCCGGAAGCGGAACTACTTATCTGTTTCACAATTATTGAATCGAAATTCGTTTAGTGCACAGTACATCACGAGATTTGAACTTACATATACTCGTAGTTAATAGTATATCTGGAACCTTCACCAATCCAGCATTAGCCACGGATTCGTTAATAAAGCCAATTATGATGACTTTAGTAACTGACAATATCCTATTAGAAATTGTATGCGTTATACATTTTGTAAATATTATAACAAAACGTGACTAATAGTCAATCACATTTTATATCATATTGTACTACGTATTTTGTAGTAAGGTGCTTATAACAGGGTTAAAAGAATTACTTCTCAAAAAGACAAAGGAATAGTCACTTACTTGAAAACAATATCGTACAATGTACATAATATAGTCGCCATTGATTTGACTTAAAATTACTTTACTTTTTTACAAAAATCTAAAATGTATTCAGCTAGCTTAGATTTAAATTGATTAAATGAACTTACATTTATAAAGATGACAGTAACAACTTATAAAGCTGTACTCCTTCGTATGTTATACACATATCTCTTTCCACTCACTTTCGGCACAACAATTAACTTGCTCGCCGAGTGCTGCGTTTATAAATCTGTAACTTAATTTAGTTAACAGTTTGCCTCACAGAAATTTTAGCTTTAAACTTCTTACCACTCGTAATATCAATTTATCGATTAGGGTTTCAATCTTCTTAATTTATGTACTTGACAACTTTTCAGGCTGTAAATGAACTTATCGATTTAACGATTAGATGATCTAACCAATTTAATGGTCAGCAGTGCTGCTTTCATGTCTGTAAGACATGACTGATCTAACCAATTTAATGGTCCGCTATGCAGCTTTCATGTTTGCAAGACATGAATCATCTAACCAATTTAATGGTCAGCCGTAGTGATTTTATACTTGTAACACTTCAATGATCTAACCAATTTAATGGTCAGCCGTGGTTCTTTTATATCTGCAAGACATCAATGATCTAACCAATTTAATGGTCAGCTATGCAGTTTTCATACTTGTAAGACATGAATCATCCAACCAATTTAATGGTCAGCCGTGGTGCTTTTATACCTGTAACAATTCAATGATCTAACCAATTTAATGGTCAGCCGTACTCTGTAGACAAGTGCGAAAGTTCTTCTTCTTCGTCGTTACAGTCTTGTCAGACTGGTGGTGGTCATCAAGTATCAGTGACCCGCTTTACCAGACGCTGCCTTTTTAGTACATTGGGTGGTCCAAGGTATCTTCAGCATTCTTCTCCAGCACCACATCTCGAGCGCGTCTATCTTCTTTTTCTCACTCTCTCGTAGGGTCCACGTTTCGGACGCATAAAGGAATATGGAGAATACAAGCGATCGTACAAGCCGAGTTCTTTTTTTCTTTGCA